TCATTTTTCCCAGGGAGCACATGAGCTAAAGGTTTGCTGTGTACTGATATTTTCAGAGTAATTTCTGTTTTGTTTGTTTTTTTAAGTTAGATCTCTCTTCCTGAATTTAGTGAGCTAGGTATTAAGATTCATTTGCCTCATATGCCAGTGCCAGCTCATAGGTTTTATTTATCCAGTGAACTTATGAAAGATTTGTTTTTCTCAAATGTTGGTGTCTTGGGGTGAGGCTTGAAAATGGTGACCTTCCTAACAGAATGAAACAAAAGATATATTTTCACACACCACTTTGCATTAATAATTTATTGTCCTTTGCTAAAGGAACACCTGCTAACTTGAAGCATGTCATATAATTATAGCTTTTCAGGGACATCTGCATCCACACAGAAGGTCAAAAATGCCTGTCCAATAAATGTTCACTGTGTTTTTTTTCCCTCAATGAGCTTAGCTTTTCCTTTTGTAAATAAAACTATGAATTTTAGAAATTTGTACAAGATCTAATAAATGGCACTGCAAGTGCAATCAAAAATAAGTGTAAAAAATTAACCTTGGCTTCTTAAGAAAGGCAATGCAGAATTTGATTAGCTCTGCCAGTTGTCTTTCATACTACTGGATCCTTACATTGCACCTTAAATATTGAGAATATTCACACTAAAATGCTAAATTAGTACATTTTGCTATTCGTTGCTAACATTCTACCTTATATAATATTTTTGGCTCTCTCATTTAGACTCTTGTGGTATGCATCTGTGTTTAATCATTTCTGAAAAGTTTGTTTCTTCAGTCAGTAGCCTTGTTCAAGTGGTCACATATCTGATTATATGGACATAATGTGCACTTCTCCCTAACACCACATCGGTTGCATTCTGCTAACCTTGCATTGTTGCTACACAAGTGAGGTTATCTAGAATGGACTAGCCTATGTGCATATGGGTACGAGAGCCCAAACCTCAGGCTCCATGGAGTTCGGGTCCATAAAGGCCCATGCATGGGTGGAACTGTGTCATGGGGGTGACATCAGAGGCTCAGCCAAAGTCCACCACATACTGTATGTGGAGAAGGCTTGGCATACACAAGATGATATTATTAAATGTTTGCCAGAAAAATATCTCCCTTGGCCTCAAATAAAAGGGGAGGTGGGAGGAAAGAAAGGCAATAGTTTCCCTTTTTCTTCATGTTTTCCCTTTGGTGCACTACCAAACTTGCCCTTTGGAAATTTTGTTGCAGCAGTGTTGAGATGGAACATTCAAAATTAAGTCAGGATATTTCCTGAACTATCTTTTTCTGTTAAGATTGTCTTTCAGGCTGTCGTTCAGACTACCAGTTGCTAAGGTTATCAGCTTTCTTAATTAGTCTCAAACAATGCCAGTCATATTGTTGGTAGTTTAAAGATCTCTGATGAAAAGCCACTTCTGTGGTCATTGGTCATTTTGTTTTCACTGTTTTTCACAGATCAGGTCAGTGCAGGCTTTTTTTCCAAATAGCCTTCTCTACTAATAGTGATGGCATGCACTTAGTTAATGTAGTGGTAGCTTTATTAACCCATTGTGCTATCATAACAGATAACATTTTATTTATGCAATTCAGTTTATTCATTCAATTTATATTCTACAGTACTCATCTAGCAAATTGCTACTTGTGGTGTACAACAAGTTAAATGCACATTATATAATAATACAAACAATAGATTATCCCAGGCATAAATCATAAAATGCCCGCTCCCCAACACAAAAGAAAGCGTATTTTTCAGTTGCAAGACAGAATAGATGTTAGCAAGGGTGTAGAAGATAACCAAACAGATCAAAATCACACACAATAATCAAGTTACTATTGAGATAAACTGTGTAAAAAAAAAGGCAAAAGGGGGCTTAGGCTAAAGTATTCAAAATATTTGGAAGTGAAGTGACAGATCCAGACTAATAAAGATAGCTGACAGGCACCAAAATTGTCATTACTGCAGCTTTTTAAAAGATGTACAGTGGTGCCTCGCAAGACGATTGCCTCGGGGGACAAAAAACCCGCAAGACAATTGGTTTTTGCGATACCTATGGTGCTTTGCAAGATGTTTTTTTCTATCGCTGTGCTTTGCAAGATGTTTTTCCCCCCAAGACCGATGCTTTGCAAGATGAATACATTTCATTCATCTTGTGAAGTTCCCATAGGGAACCTTGCAAGACGGTTTTTTCACAAGACAGTGATTTTCGCAGAATGAATTAAAATCGTCTTGCATGGCACCACTGTACTTCTAAGAATTTATGCAATAAGAGTTGCATAAGAGAACTGGATATATAATTTACTCATCTTTCACAAACTCCCCTTGCAAACACTGTGACTACAAAGTGCATTTAAGATCTTTGTCCAAGATTGCAGTTAGGGCTGTCCATGAGCAAAGACCAGCTCATTTACTTGCCCCTCCCCATCAAATCACCCTGGTGTTTTCTATATATGTTGGGAAACATTTAGGACACATATTGTTCATTTATTTTCTGAATCTGTACAGAGCTAAATAGATGGATCTGGTTCTGTTTCAGGCTTGACTTGTACTAGTACTATCCACTTCAGATCTCATCTAGCACAATCAAAGATTGACTCAAATAGATTTATAGTTTGTTTGCACAGCCTTACAGAGAAACCCATCCAAATATGTAATGACAGCATTTGCTAAACAATTAATAATTACTACCGTTATATATCTTTTTTGGGGTAGTTACTGTAGTTTAGAAGTTCATTGAATTCTGTGGAATAGATTTAAAAGCTGCCTTTGTCTGAAGTAGACTGCTATTGTTTCTTGCTAACAGTGCTGGTATTCTGTTAATATGAAGCATAGTTTAGTAAGCTTATAAGCTATCTAAAATATTTGTACTTGATCTGGCAGATTAGCTTTAATATGCTTGAGTTTTTGGTTTTTTTAATAAATGGGATATGTGTAGAAACTTTAAAATTATTCCAATTTACAGATTGTAATGTGAAAGACTAGCTTGAGAATGTTATGTTTTCAGTTCAACAGTATTTTAGCATCTCACTGAGCATTTTCTAATCTTTGAGTATGGCTCGTGTTTTTTTTGGCTTTACAGTACTGGAGTAGGAAGGAGAAGGTGGTAAAGGCCACTATGCACTATTGGAACTGCAGAGGTTTAGGTCTCTGGCTGCAGAGCCAGAGGTTGAGAGTTCAATTCCCCACTGTGCCTCATTGACAAGGGCTGGACTCGATGGTCCATAACAAGGTCCCTTCCAGTTCTGCAGCTCTAAGAGATTGATCATTTATGTCTTTCTGAAACTATTAATTACAGTTATTTGTAAAAGAAATGCATATTGTTACTGAACATGATAGCTTCATATAGCTTCAAATAAAAAATATTTATTTTATTTTTGGATGCTGATATTATTTTAATTGTTAAGTTGTGTTTGATGTATGCTGCCCAGAGTAGTCGAAATGACTAGATGGGCAGGATAGAAATGTAATAAAATAAATAAATAAATATTTAGGACTCATAAAGTAACAGAGCACAACATGATTATTTCCAGGTACTCAGGAAGATTTTTGCTTGTTTTCCAACAAGAGCCTCATATTCCTCCTGGTACATTGTCCTCTTTATCCATGGGCATATGATTTCATATAGGCTGCCTTTTTTTCCCTGGATAAAATTTTGATGTGTAAATAAAAAAAAAACCTGGAGTAGCAGTCGGTGACAGAAATGCAGTAATAAGTTGAAGCTTAAGTAGGGTTTTTGAATCAATTGAAGTTACATAGATGTTGATTTACCAGACCCTCACTGATTCAATGGGCCTAAGCTAGTTTGGATTTTCTACAGGATTTTAGCCAAATATGTTTAATCAGGATCATAACTGGTGTCACTCTGTATCTTTAGTAGCTTCAAATAAGCAGATTGTTAGAGTTCAGTCATATGAAACCGGTTTTGCTGTATTGCAAAATTATAAGGTATTTCTTGTTTACTTTATTTTCCCTTTTAAGTCTGAAGCAAACTATGCAAGAATTGTACTAGACTTCCTCCCCGGACCTTCTTTCCTTTTTTTAAATGTAAATATTATCCCAAGCAGTAGCAGTGATGTCACTGGCAGATTGCTGATAGCAAAAAAGTTTCTGCTTTGATTTCATATCATGTGCAACTTGGTTTTATTGTACATTAGTCACACACAATCCAAAATGGATGCAGGAACTCTTTAATTAGTGGCAATCTGTAGCTGCTAGAAATGTCTCTCTCACGGATTATAGAATAGGACACCAGCCAATGTTTATGCCATTTTATAAAGAGTGATAAGAGTATAAGGGACACATAAAATTACCAGCAATGAAAATATACCTTGCTTAACAGTGATAATCCGTTCCAGGAAAATCGCTGTTAAGCGAAAACATCATAAAGCGAAAATAAAAAGCCCATTGAAACGCATTGAAAACTGTTCAATGCGTTCCAATGGGCTGAAAACTCCAGCGAAGATCCTCCATACGGCGGCCATTTTCGGTGCCTGTATAATGAGGAATCTGTCCCTAAACACAGCAGGGAGCCATTTTAATTACCCGACAGCCATTTTGAAACTGCCGATCAGCTGTTAAAAAAACATCGTTTTGTGAAGAACCGGTTCCCGAAGCAGGGAACCGATCATTGCAAAGCGAAAAAAACCTATTTAAACCATCGTTTTGCGATCGCAAAAATGTCGTGAAGTGGATTCTTCGTAATGCAGGGTAATCATAAAGAGGGGATACCACTTAAGCATATGAACATATCAATTCTATGTCAAACAACTTGATCGTGTTACTGTTGCAGCCTTAGATAATATTTGACAGCTACTCAGTTTCAGAGAAGCTGTTTTGCTCTAAGGAAACTTTTCTAGAAAAGGTAAGTTTATAAATAATGCTTTAGAATATTTTCCCCAGTAGCTATTAATATAATACTTCTGAAAGCGTATAGATGAATATTTCAGCAACTCAGTATCTGGGAATCTTTCCTAGAAATAATAAAGCTTCATTGCATTTGTTTCTGCAGTTGCACTAAAATCATCCAGTTCCACTAAAGCTGACAGAAATGGCATCCAGGATGGCAGTAGGACAACAAAACCTGGAGAGAACATGCAACTGCTTGAAGGAGAACTTCTGCTACAGGTACTAGTCCTGAATGCACTAAATACAGCAGTGTAAGCAGAACATTGCTTTTAGGATTTATATCTACGTTCATTGCACCTAACCAAATGGATAATCCTTTTCTTCTTTTCCTAGCAATTGGCATTCCTCATATGTTTTCTTGTTAGTGTGCAGTGGGCTGTTAACTTAGTTTTATAAATAAATCCATAAATTACTAGTTGGGAGGTAGGATTACCAGTATCCTGTATTTATGTTTTGGTGAAGGGGGTCTCCTCCACAGCCCTCATGGAAACACAGGACGTTAGGCCCATAGTTGACTAGTGATATCTTTGCCTCCTGCCAGGTGGAGGAGAGGCAATCCTTCCTTTGCCAATTGTTGTTGGTGCTGAAGGAAGGGACATATTCCCCCCCCCCACACGCAACAAGTACTAAGACCATGCTGAGAAAGAGAAGCAGGCAATGTGTTGCTCCTCTGCCAGTCTATTCACCCACTTTCATTGAATTTCTTAATACCCGTTGCTAACAGGCAGATAGTTGAATCTAAGTTACATTTACTCTATGTGGTGTGGTTTCATACCTGAATTTTGGTAGCTCAACATTATCTTGTTTGAGAGATTGTTTCAAAAATAAGCAGATGAGCAGACTAGAATCTTATTCATGTCTTTCAAGTGTCTTCAGTGCCAGCCCTGAACTAAGCTGACAACATAGGTTTTTCAGAATCATAGATTTTAAGATCATAAAAGCATAACTAGTCTGTGTCAGAATTAGTATAACAAGGTGTTATGTCACGGATTAGGTTATCACAATAAGTGTGATAAACAGGATCATTTCCATGAGAAAGGGTTCCTGCGTTCTAGAACTTGTTACGTAACTTCAGATTATGGTTTAACTTCAGATTTGAAGGATCTCATGAGATGGCCCTTGAAAGTTATTCATGCATGCTTAAAGTAGTAATTTTGCTCTTCCAAAGTTTCTTTCAAAGTTTTTGAAGGTTTTTAAGTAATTTTTACAATCAGAGCACCAGTCATTAATATGGCTTGTGCTGATGAATTATTTGATGTTGGGCTGATGAGTAAAGTGTTGTATTGGGATTCAGGAGATCTGAGTTCAGATCCCCACTTGACTGTGGAGACTCCTGTGAGGGAGAGGCATTGGTAAAAACCACACCTTGAACACCTCGTATACATTGGAAAACCCCCACTAAGGTCAGTAGATTAAATTGTCTTAATGGCACATATGTCACACAAGACAACCTTTTGTACTCTACTGTCCAGAATATTTCAATAATCAGACACATTTATGCAGTAAAATTGCTGAAGTTTGAGACTCAAAGCATTTGGGAGTTTGTATCCATAATACTTCTAAAAATGTTAAATGTGTCTGCTTTTTCGTGCTATATAATGGGTAGGTTGGGCAACCGGAGGTTGCATAATGCATATTTTTCACCACATCCTTCTTACTGCAGCCTTGTGCACCCTCTCAAGGCTTTGCTAAAGATTGCAGGGCACCACTGGGAAAGATCTGGTTTACGGTGGACGTGGCTTCAGTGGCAGGAGGAGCTGGACAAAATAAGGCATACTTTAGTAGTTTTTAGTAGTACTGTAGTTTTTTCACTGCTTTTTTCAAGATGGCCAGGATTACTCTCTGCTAAAAGAAGCATTTCCTGGACTCAATCAATCCCAGTTTGCTAGGTATAATAAAACATCAATGGCAAGTACTTATATATGAACTGATGTAGGCTGGACCTCTTCAAGCGTCTTGTCTACATTCTTTGGTTGCAGTAATAGAAACTCATTCCTGTAACACAGAGCAGTAATTGGTAGTACCAAATAGAGCTAGACCCATTGAATCAATGGTATTTACATGTATTATCAGCATTCAGCAACTTATTTAGTGAGTCTGCTTTAGCTGGGATTAGCAATTGAATTAAGCCTATATTTATTATATTCATCTGTTTATTGTATTTTAAACTATTATATTTTTAAAAGCTATGCTTTTCTGGAAGGTACACAAATGGATTAAAATAATATTTTTATTATTTTAATAAAATATTATTTTATAATATGGAGAGAAAGGCAGCGGACGGACGGACGGACGGACGGACGGACGGACGGACGGACGGACGGACGGACGGACGGACGGACAGACAGATAGATAGATAGATAGATAGATAGATAATAAAAACAGTACAGGATAACAAACACAGGATAACAATCTCCAAGTTTACTTATTTTAAAAGTTATATCTAAGCTAAGAGGATTGCAAGCAGTTTTATCCTTAAAATGCTGATAAAACATGTCACAACAGGGCTTCAGTAATTACATAATACCCTCCTGTGGGACAAGTTGCAAGAAGCCTAGAGTCAACTGGAAGAGCTCTGCAGGATTTCTCACCAAGAATGCAGTGGGGGTGGGGACACTACTCTTTCACCAGTATGGCTAACACATGGGCTTGAAAATGAGGTTTCACTTTGTCCAGTGGTTTCACAGTGTAGTCAGTCTTAGCAAATAAGGTTTGTAGTCTTCTTACAGTAAATAAACTGAATAATATGGGAGAGGATGCCTAGCAGTAATTACGTGAATTGTTGCAAGATCTACAGTGGCCAAAGTGTTGTCAAAATTGTCAGCAGTAGCAGCCAGAAATTCTCCAAGAAAATTTAATTCCATTGTTCACTGGATGTGTACCATTCCATCAAATCTGCCATAATCGTACATCCAGGTCATCATCATCATCTTGCCTAAAGTGTGATTTGCTTCAAGAGTTGGAATGATTTGATAATGGGAAAGCTCTGTGATTATCATAGCAGCAACGAAATCTTTAGTAACTCCTGGAAAAATTGTTTTTACATTGAAGTTATATGCAAATACCGTACTCCTGAGACAGTCAGTTTTGGATTTGATCAGCAACAAAGGTTAGCCAGGCTTAGAAATTGCTGGGCAGCACGGCAGTCTGTACACAGGCAGCCTTGCCATCTTGTCCCTTGCCCCTCTACCAGATCCAAACAAGGCCAACACCCAGCCCAAACTGCGGTTCATGCCCATCTCTAGCTCATCACTACATATCTGTCCGTCTACATGTCAATAATAAGGTGTTCTCCCAAGCTATTTTCTATATGATCTCAGGTCCACCCTTGCCCCTCTACCAGATCCAAACAAGGCCAACACCCAGCCCAAACTGCGGTTCATGCCCATCTCTAGCTCATCACTACATATCTGTCCATCTACATGTCAATAGTAAGGTGTTCTCCTATTTTCTATATGATCTCAGGTCCGTGATACAGAAACCACCCATGGCATTTTTCTGTATTACATCAGGTGCCTAATTTTTTTAAAAAAAAACCAAACCATTTCTTGTATGACTTCAAATGCATACTACAAAAATAATTAATCAGTTTAAACTGTTGTACAGAGAGATTATAAAATAGATTATAATAATTATTCTCATTTTCAAAAAAATTCACAATCCAAGTGACTGTGACAGAATCTCCCAACTTACACTGGAGGTTATCTCAAAGTAGGCAAAACCTTGTCTCTTTCACCAGCATGCTGTAAATCAGAGGTCCCCCAACCTCCAGTCCGCGACCCAGCAGCGGTCTGTCGGCTATCCAGGACCGGGCCACGAACCCAGATTTCCTCCCCCTGGGACCGGTTGCTTGCATGCGTGCAAGCACATTCTGCCCCCTGCAAGTGTGCTGTGCACATGTCTGTGAGCACCCCTGCAAGTGCAACATGCGCACGAGCGAGCTCCCCCCCCATGTGCATGCCACACACTCCCAACTGGTCCGCGGTTGGGAAAAGGTTGTGGTCCACTGCTGTAAATCATGCTCAGTCAAACCTGATGAGATGGACAATGTATTACTCTGTAATGCTCCTTGAATAATTGAGCTGCACCTATAAACTGTGGCTATTGTTTGGGTCTCCCAGGAGCAATGGGAATATTATTCTGTCCTGGAATTAGCCACAGAAAGCACAGCTGTGAGTGTTCTAGTCGTGGTCAGAGCTCTTCATTAAGGCTGAGGCATCAGTTGGTGTTCATCTGCTACCACATTTTCTATGAACATATTTTCATATGTGGAATAGGAATTAGAATCCTGACTTATTTGCATGCATATCTGAATGATATGTGTTACAAAACAGAGCTTGGATAGCAAGAAGAGAGATTCTAGAACAGCTTGCTTTTTGTGGCCTCATTTGTTCTGTTTACCATGAGTTTTTAAAATACATCTGCCATTCTGTAATTTCTCTGTCACTGCTTGGCTCCTGTTACTTTATTGCTCATATAGAACCTTGGGCAACATGAAAAGAACTCTATATTCTGCATGTATGGTTGAAATATTCAGATTCCTTTCCCTTTCCTGTGACTGCATCAAAAAGCTAAAGTTCAGAGAAGATTCCACAGTGGTATAAAGCTGCAGCAGAGAAGGTTATTGCCACATCTGCACCAACATGGAGTCATATTTTCATATGTGGCTATGACTCCCAATATGGCATTGAGAGCTTTTAGTACGTACGTGACGAACCCTCTAAAAGAATGTAAATATGGTGTGGCAAGAAAGCAGCAGAGAGTCATATGTCACCTTAGATAGGGAGCTAAATCTCACATTAATCCTAGCTAGAGGGAATCCATTGAAATCAGTGGCTAAAATCTGGTTGGCATATTTTATGCTATGTAAGGCTGACTGGAAAATATTTCCGTTCCTCTCCACCACCACCCCCCAGTGCCAAGGCTCCTGTGGAATCCCTTTTGTTGTGAGGAAGCCATTGAGGGGTATGGGAGCCTTTAATTACAGTATATTGCTGCTCGGATGACTTTACCAGCTGTGGTGATTTTTTTTAAAATTAAAGTCTTCCCAGTGGCTCCCCCATGATAAAAGGAATTCTTTGGCACCTTCAGGTGGGAGGAATAAAAAATGATTATTTTTAAAATATTACCATGGCTGATGATGTCATCAGTCTTACACATCATAATTTAGGATTTCAGCCAACAAGTATTAAATGTGTGTAACTACCAACTATCATTTATGTCAGTGGCTCTACTAGAAGTAAGATTAAAAGCTGAACTGAATGCTAACAAATTTATTATGGTATAAACTTTCATGGATAATGGTAATGTGTTGTAACAATGAAAGCTTATACAACAACAAATGCTTTGGTATTTAAGGTGCCTCGATTGTGTAGAGTGGTGCCTCGATTTACAACCATAATCCATTCCAAGGGAAGCATGCAGGACCATTGGAAATGAGGGGGAAAAACCCAAACAAACAAACCCCCCAAGACCCATCGGAGATGGGAAAAAAAAAAACCAAAAAGCAACTAAACCCCTAAGAACCATCGGAAATGGGGGGGAGCCAAAAAACAAGCAACCCCCCAAGACCCATCGGAAATGGGGGGGAACCAAAAAACAAACAACCCCCCCAAGACCCATCACAGCACAGAAACATAAGCCCAGCTCATTATATAGTTCACTATTATACATTTCTTATAATTGTGTTTGTATATCTTTTGCAAATTTAATTGTTCTGTATAGTATTGTTCTTGAATAAGCTCAGTACCTTTATCTTATGCTTTAATTTACTTGAGTAATTTGTATTTCAAATAATAGGAGCTCTAGTTACTTATTTTTGTCTTTTATATCTTCAAACTAATATTCAGAAATATTAACCTCTTTAAGACATGTGCTACTGATGTATTATTATTGCTCTGTCTCCAGGCATTGAATGGCTTTGTGCTGGTGATCACATCGGATGCGCTAATATTTTATGTGTCTTCGACGATCCAGGATTATTTGGGTTTCCAGCAGGTAAGCACCTTTTCCTCTCTCAGAAAGAGTGAAAAGTTTGGATTTTGCTTCATGTAATGAAGAGCAGTTTCATACAATTTTATCTGCTTTGGGCAGAGTTTGAGAAGCTATCACATTCCTGAGTAAACAGAGGAGGCAAATACAGTGGTGCCTCACACAATGATGTTAATTGGTTCCAAAAAAATGAACGTTG